TTCTTAGGAATGTCTAAATTCAGTTAAACTAGCAATTCCGTATTATATTTATAAATCTTTATAACATTATACAAAAATTAGATTTTTCTTAAAAATTGAAATTTTGCCGGGAATGGGGCTTTAAGGAAATATATTCAGGCCGTGTTTATGCAGATCTGAGTAAACAAAATTTAAATCCTAGATTTACAAAAACATGAAAATGTCATACAATTTAATGTAATTAAAAAATCGAAAGGTCCACTGATTAATCTCAGATAAGAAAGTATAATACATACTCCAAGTATTGAAATACACGCCATCGTGTTGGGATTCAATATTTCGACATTAATTATGTCATCATCAGGAATGAAAAAATTATCCATATTAGCAAGCTTATAGGCCTATGCACTAGTACCAAAAGTGTTTAACCAATCAAAACATTACCTCTAGTAGGTGACATAGCAGTGATTTAAACAAAAGATCAAAACATTCTTACTCTAATGATCAAAGATACCTACAAAAACAAAGAAAGCTCTTTTGAAGCTCTAGCCCATTGTTAAGCAAAAGGTGTATAGTCTACGTATAGCGAACGCTTCTTTAAACAATAGGATAGACCAGTTTCGGGAGCTGTCAATAATGTTAGTACTAGAAAATATTAAACCTAATTTATTACTTACATTACAGACGACATTATCATTTTCAAGTATACCCTGTAATCTTAAAACATATTGGAATGCCTCATAGTTTTTAACATGATCAAATATAACACTATCAGATCGTGAAGAATGTTCTTTAAGTCTAGTTATTAAGCACCTATTGTCCATAGAGAAACTTTTCTCTATGATCTGTCTTACCAATATAATCACTATTGCAGCCTGGACATTTAAAATGATAGACAACAGAACTTCTGTACTCCTTAGGGGTTTGATCCTTAGTAGATATAAAATGAGAAACATTTTTATAACTGCCATAAAGTTATGAATTTTACCTCTTTAATTAAGTGTTTCTTTACCTTATTTAAACATCTACGTAAAATGACCTCACCTGGTTTTCCTAGATAAGGCAATCTAACCCAAATCTTAATCAAGTTATCATCAGTAGGCCTATGTATACATTTAGGTTCATTTAATTTCTTAACAACTTTTAAAGGATACCCATTCCAAGACATAAACTTCCCGATGTTACTAAGCTCTGTTTGAAGTTTTTCAGGAGTACATAATCTGTGGCTCTAGAAACTAAACTACGAATCCAGGAGATCTTATGGTTCCATGGAGCAAAACTATCATAATGGACATATTGACCTGTATGTGTATTTTTACGATATATACTCAAGCTTCCTACACTGTTGTTAAATTGTAAATCCAGAAAGTGTACTGTGTCACTGTTTTCAAATGGTTCAAAAGTAAAATTTGTCTATGAAAAGCATTGAAGTACCTTAGAATTTGCGGGAAATCATTGGGCTTAGCTAATACTAGCGTGTCGTCAACAAAACGAGTATAAAACTTAATAGTACCTGATTCAATAAGTTTAGGAACAATAGACTCTTCTAGTTCAGTCATTAAAATATTAGCTAATACTGGGCCAAGAGGCGAACCCATTGAGACAACATCAGTTTGTTTATAAAATTTATTATTACATGTAAATACAGTTTTAGTACAGCAATCTCTAAGTAGTTTCCTTAGCGAATTTTTCTTCAAGGGGAAGTGCGGGGATGAGACAAATAAAGTGGCCATATACATTGGTTATTTAATGTTTCCTGAGTTCGGGAAAAATACTTTAAAAATTCAAAACGTTGAAATGTAACGATAATTAGAGGAACAAAAGATGATGTGATGAGACGGGAAAATCAGGTGAAAACGAGGCTGATCACTTTTTTCAGTAGCTTGGTAGCATTTTCTAACCAACTCATTAATATTCAAGACCAGTCTGTCAATTTTTGGCGAGCAACTGATCGAAAAATCGTCCCGACGATCGAGCAACTAGCCTAGACAATACATAACAGTAGTGTGAAGTCGTGAGTATTTGTGATCGTTTACGTACGCAGTTACAGAGAGACGGTTTAGTCAACGTCAATTCAATCATGGAGGAATAATTCAATTGAATTAATAAACGTATATCAGTCCGATGACTTGTTTGTTTATAATTAGGCCTATGCCTAGGATTAGCACAGTCAGTGTCTACCCAGCAGCAGTCCAGTATCGCACTCCTGACCAGGACACTGCTCCAGTCCCGCAGCAGGTGAGTTCGCACGCAGCCTTATCCAGCTGACGGTAAAGTTAGTAGGTTTCTACTACTAGCCTAGAATTGTCATGCCATGGCGACTTTGTCACATTAATTATTTTTTTTTCATAATAGGCCTAGGTCCCTAGTAGGCCTACTAATAATACTATAAGGCCTAGTTATATGCCTGGTCCTATGAAAAACTGTCTAGGCCTAGGCCTAAATGTCTAAAAACTGCACTGTCTAAATAAAAGGGGTGATGTGCTATAACTCTACAGTATATCACAGAGCCAACACCAATTCCTGTAACAATAAGATTATTATTGATATACTGTAGGCCTAGAAGTTAGGCTACACAACAATAACGCCCCATTAAATAACATGGTGCATATGTTACTCCAAACCCAACTTTCAGCTGTTGTTGAAATGTGGAATTCAAATAAAATATATACAGTATATATATTTTTTTGTAGGACAAGATATGTGATATGCCGAAACATAACACTCTGGTCACATAGGTATTTGCCAGTCGCCATGATAAGACAAACATACCACAACATTTGCCATGAGTACAACCACCCAACATTGGCATCTACGAAAGAAGGTGGTACAAAGTATACAAGCACCCAAGACGTTAGCAAGAAACACTCTGGTTGTTTGCTGAAAGCTACACACAATTTAAGGTGAGCAAAAGAAAATTAAGTGAATATCTCATCACTGTTCAGTCAGAGTACATGAAACAAATATATTGGAATTTTAAAAAAATATCAGCATGGTGTGTCAGTTTTATTAAGAAGCAACAATAATACATTACACACTAGCAGACAGGAAGTCTTCAATCAAGTAATTAAAAAATCTGAAAATACTGTCAATTGATGAATGTCTATCCAGATTAGTGTATACAGTATCTGAGTATGGTATGTTATTGATAAAGCAGCAAATGCTTGGTTTTGCATTATTGTAACTAAGGTATACTTATTTCTCAATAGGAGCAAATGACAGGCTCAAATGTATGTAATGCAAACAGTTCAATCTGTGTGGACATGATGAAATGGACATGTCCAATCCGTGGTTAGCAGAAGTTGGCGATGCTCAGAGCTCTGCAGCAAGTGATTGAGCCCAAAATATTTCAAAAGAATTAAATTAAAATGATTTATCTAGTGATGTGATTTTTTTTTTCTGAAGATATACTGAAATGCCACACACTTAAGTTTTTGTATTTTGTGCATCTGGTTTATATTGCAGCATCTGGTTTATATTGCATGCCAAATTTATAATAAATAAATAAATACTGTACCAGTATTACTGTACCTGTTTCATTTGCAAAATATGTTTAATATTATTAAATAATAATAGTGTAGTTTAATATAGCGCACAAATCCATCTCAGGGCGCTTGAAATGTGGAGTAGGAACTCGATCAATGACTTTCTTTGCCCCTAAGGGTCCCTTCGTGTCTGTGCTACCCGGTAACCCGGTACAAGCAACTATCGTTGTCCACCACCAAAATAGTATAATCCCATTCAATAGTCATCCTTTTGAAGCAAATATGTGACACAGATTTAGAAAACAAATTGTGAGGATTAATTTTGAAATATGTAATGTGCGAAGTTGATAGTACAGTATGAAAATGTGGCTCAATATATACAGGAACAACTATTTTAATGTATGGCTTTGTACAGTCTTGTGTAAAGTTATTCTATGAAACTGCTTATTTTTTAATGCATGCTGATCAATTTGGTATTGGAATTTAAGAGAAAGCTTCAATTTTTTTGCTGCACACCATTTTTTGTTGCACACCATTTTTTGTTTAGTATTTTAAAATATATAGTTGAACTTGCCTATGTCATATCCAAAATGCCATTAAGAAATTGTTCGACCCTAACAAAATTTGACTTGCACCTACGGTAATGGAAAACACAACAATTCGGCATGTATTATTAGTCGTCTTAGGCAAGTTTAATTGCACTGCTCTATTTATCATGTCTGATTGTCTTACTTACTTAGTTATTGTTGTACATACAGTAAATTCAAGACTACTGGTGTTACTAAATAAATATTTTGAAACACAATTTATCATCCTTGTACATGGCAAATAATTTATTACAAGTGTATTTTCTCACAGTTAATATAAAATTGTTTTACTGTACACAAAATAAAGCCACATTGAAGCAGTCGGGTATATATCACTGCATTTTACACACTATTTATTATCAAAATATTAAATATATGGATTTATAGTTACTGTAGTTTATACCAATGTAAAGAATATGGAAGAACAAGTTACATTTATATACTGTATTAGCTTAAAATTTTAAAATATGAGATGAGAGTGGGGAAGATACAAAAAACATTGTACTGTACTTAACAACAAAATGTTCTTGAAATCAACTTTGCTGGCCTATCCGCATCAATAACAATTTCAATTCAGACTAGGTCTGGAAGGTTACACACAATTGACTGGTCCAGATATAAAAAAAGCTCTAGGCCTATGCTGACAAAATTTCCTTTCATGAGTGATGAGATTGTCCAAAAAACAGAGAACAGTCACATGAATTGTCAAGAATGAATCTATTACATAAGATGGGACTTATCAGGTATCTTCCATAATAATTTATAATAATTCTTCCAACACAAAGTTTATTTCATCATCTTCTATAGCATCAAAAAACCCAGGGCAGTCTTCAAAGCTTCTGGGAACTTGTCCCTAATCGCCCACACAGTGCAAGATGGGATGACCCTTCTGTCAGATTTCTTTAGCCTGTTAAACACCTACCAAATGAAAGCCATCATGTTTGAACAGACTAGTTAAAAAAATCAGAGTGACACTTCTTACACCATTCAAAAACAATTAGTATTGATATTACAAATATCTTTATAAGGAATTAATCATTCTGGCACTAATCATCAATGATAATTTTTGTTGAAGATATATAACCATCATTGTGAAAAGCCCATATTCAAATGCATTGCAAAGTGGTGTAACATAGCTGCGACCTAATTATTTTGAATAGATTTTATTACTTCATTAATATAATACTTTTTTTGTAATATAAAAATAAAAATTAGTTTAAAAATTACAAATGAAGACAAATAATAGACTATCTTGTTTCTCAATCTTTTCTAATGTACAGTACAGTAATAATAATGCCTCTGTATTTTGACCATCAAAATGGCTGGACATTGACCCTCTACTAGTTTTTGATCCAGCATGGAACCAACAGGGCCAGGCCTAAGGCAGGTGGTTGTATTTCCGAGCAGAATGCCGAAAATTAGTCTTTGAACTAATCTGGATACTGTATATAACCATTGTAAATGTTTTATGCAGAAGTTAAGTTCTATGCACATTTTTCCAAGCCATTTTCCGCGCAAATTTGAGCTAGGCCTAGGCCTAGTTTTCAAGGTATCATCCACATTCCACGACGAATAAACTGGCATTTTAGTAATGCTGTAGTAGTAGTAGTTGGTCCTAGATAGTTCCATGGACCTAATAATTAATATGTAAATTAATGTACTTTATTTAAATAGTGTTGTTTGTTTGTCTAATGTTTGAAATATTATTATTATATAGTTTGTATGCCTAGGACTAAACTAGGGGCCTAGGCCGCGCCAGGCAGTAGAGTAGTATTCCGTATTCTCTACATACATACAGTACAGCACTAAATGCTAGGCTATGCCTACACAGGTAAGACAAGTTGGTATTAAACAAACCTATTTAACGCCACAATAAGATCACCACTTCCAAGACTTCCTTATCCAAACCAGCAAACATATCTTTTTGAAAGATTGATTCTTCAAAAATGCCTTCGACTTATATTATTATTATTATTGAATATTTTCGCCAGTCCTAATTTTTCAATTTTCCGCTCGCGACGACCAATCTCATCAGTTGGCTGTGTCGTTACCAGCTCGTTACGGTTGAGTGAATCAGCTGATTCCCTGTCTAGTGCAAATTTCCGAAATAAAAACTGGGGAAAATCGTTATTTTACACATAATTGAGACATTTTCATAAGTGAAAACCCATATAAATGAAAAGAACGGCCAAATTTACATTGGAATATCTAAAATTTGACACGATTTTTTTTATGGGGTTACCGAATGCAAGCCTTTGAAATTCGGTACATTTTAGGAAATTCACTAACTAGCTCAAAATCCTGTAGCACCAGTTTTTTTTTGGGACCCAGTTCACGAGCCTCGTTTTCGAATACCGCGCTCCAAAATCCAGTCCCGTCACCGTCATTATGGTCGCCCATCCCTCTATTTGAAATTAAAAATTAATCGTTTCATCCCCGCACTTCCCCTAAACCCTTTCAGTCCCATAAGCGCTTTAAGCGCTCTCTAATTATCGTCAGTAATTAATTAATTAACAATAATTTAAAAAAAAACGTATGTGCAGTAATGTGTGCATGTATTTTCATTAAATACTCGAGAAAATATCAAAAATTTTTATAAAAAAATGTTTCTTGGTGCTTTTTTAATTAACTTGAATGATTAGAGTAATTAAAAATATGAAATATAATCGTTATTTTTGTAATATGATACCCTTGAACGGGAAGGCGCCGCCGTCAACACTGATGAATAAAATCGTCTAAAAATACACTTTTTTCAAAAAGTAACAAATCTGACACTTTCCTATAATATAAATATATATTCAATATACATACTGTACCAGTTTTGGTTATTATATCCTCATATTTCCACGTAAAATTAATTTTTTTTGTGGCTGAAAAAAAAACCGTGGCTATCAACTTTGTCAGCGCCATCTTGGTTGTTTACAAAAATGAAAACGAACCCTGACATGACCGTTGAAC